CCTTTTTGCCTTAATTGCGCATTGCAATTGCTTTATTCCAAAAGGAGTTTTTGGGTAGCTTTCGTTTTAAAATTAAAAAGTTTAAAAAAGTAATAAGCCATTTTTTTAAGCTTTACCCGAAATCGGGTAGCAAGTAAAAAGATAAAGTTAAAAAAAGGAATAAAAAGGCTTTTCGTTAAAATAATTTTGCTTTTCGTAGCCCAATCCTAAAAAAAAAGGAAAATGGTAATAATAACGAAAAAGGTTAAAAAAGTAACATTAAAACCGCAATAATTCGGGGTTATTCCTTTTATAAAAATGTTTTTATTTATTAAATAATAAGTAAAGGCTAAAGTTAAAATAGAAAAAAAAAATGAATAAAAAAAAGGTGCAGCGCTTTTAAAAATTGCACGCGTTATAATTAAATGCCGTTTTATTATTTAAAACCGGCATGCTTTATATTAATTAATAAAAAAGGAATTTGCGTTATGCTTTTATGCAAACGTTATATGCTTTTGGTATTTATTCCAAAGTTTTTAACTGCGTATTAAATTTGCCAACCCGTTTTTAAAAAAATCGTATAACTTTAAAGCAACTTTAAATGTTTTAAATTTGTAAAGCGGGAAGTTTTTAATAAGCCCGTTTGCTGGTATAAAAGCGGTTTTAAAATATATTACGTTAAACATTCTTTTTTGGTACTTTTAGCGTAACTACATATTTATAATATTTACGTGCTTTAAAGCCGTATTAATGCGGGTGCCCTTTTTAATTATTAATCGAATCGTTTATATATTGTTATAATAAAGTTTTTAAGGAATATTAATTTTTAAGCGTAAATTTCGGAAAAACCTTTGCATAGCAATAATTTTTTTTCCGAATTTTATAAACGCTAAAAGCTTTGTTTTTGTAATGGACGTTATAACGGTAGCTTATTTCTTTGTTTTTTACGCTACGGGCTTTTCGAATAAAAATATAACGTATTTTTTAAACAATTTTTTCGTTTTTTTATTGTTAGCAAAAAAAGCGTTTAAAGCAAGGAGCAAATGGTTGGACTTTAAAACGTTTTTTAGCCGGATGCAATAGGATTTCAACCTTTTTAAATACAAAAAGGTATGGTTTGCCGCTTTTAAATGCTTTTTACTTGGGTTTGTAAGGTATTTGGAAAGTTTTGCGCTTGCAAAAGCAACGTTTAAGCGGATAGTAATGGCCGTATAAAGTATAAATCCAACTTTTTTTTGCATGGCCAGGATTTCGGCGGGTATCGTTACCCTTAAATTCTTTTTAAGCGTTTGGCTGGGCAAAGGGGAACGCTTTACGCTTTTGTTTTTAAAATTAAAAGTGTTAACGATTTTGTTAATATAAAAATTGTAATGCAGGGTTACTATCCGTACCTTTTTATCCCTTACGATTTAAATTTTAAGGAAAATTTTAAATGGTTTTTTTTTATTTTGTATTCCTTTTTAAAACCGTTTAATACTTTTGCTACCATTTTTAAATGCGTAGCACGGTTAAAAATAATTATATTATTAACGTACAAAAGGAAAAAAATTTTACGTTTTGTGCTTATAAATAAATAAAGCTTTTCCGTTAACGGGGTAAGCTTTAGCTTTTTAAAGGTTTTTTTAAAGGCCAAGTATTACAATTTCGGTAAATTTCGTAACCCGTACAAGGCTTTTTTAAACCGGGCCACAAACCTTTTTCGGTAATACCCAAAAAAGAACTTTACGTAAACGGGTATATGGTTATCGCCAATTTTTGCGTAAAAAAAGGCTTTATTAACGTTAATTTAATGCGCTTTAAAATCGAAATAAGCCATAATTGCTATTATAATTTTAAAGCTTTTGGTTGCAAGCGTAACAACGTAAGTTTTTTTTAAACCGTTGGGTTATTAATTACCTTTAATTACCGCGCAAAATTTATAATTTGTAACGTAACCGTTTTTGTTAAATTTATAAATAAATACCCAAACAATATTAATGGCTTTGTTACTAAGCAAATTTTTCGGAATTTTTTTCCAAATTTTTTTTTTAGTAATTTATTAATTTTCCCGAAAGCAAATTATTTAAATTTTTTTTATATAAATGCGTATTAAACTTTTGTTAAAATTTCGGAATTTGTTATAATTCGTTTCGGTATAACCGTTTGTTTTTTTAAAGGCTATTGCGTTTCGATATTTTTGCTACGGTAATTGCAATTATTTTGTAAACCGGGCAATGGCCGAAATTACTTTTTTTAATCGCCGTTTATTAATTAAGCAAATACGTATCGAAAAAAGCTTGTTAGCTTTTATTTATTAAGCTTATTTTAAAAATAACGTTTTTAATTTCCAATTTAAAAGCGTTAAACGCTATTGTTAAGCCGTAATAAAAAATGGCGTTGTTAAAGTTATTGCGTTGTTTGCTTTCCTTTTTTTTTTTTTTTTCCTTTGCGGCCGTATGCATTGCGGCGCGGATTGCCTTAAACGTAATTATTAGCAAGTTCGGTAAAAGCGCGTTAAAAAAAAAGGCTTTGGGCAAAAGCAAAGGGTTCGTTCTTTTGCGGGGTTAGCCTTTGCCCTTTTTAACCGGAGGAAAAAAGAAAGCGGCGCTTTTTGCTTGTTTGGGTTTGTTTCGAACAAATTTTTAAAAGCTTTAAACGCTTTTGGTATTGTAATTAAAGGCGCCGCAAAGGTGCCGCTTGTAATTGCAACTAGCATATCCGGTTTTAAAATAAGCAAGGACCGGTTTATTGCTTTATAAAGTAAAGCTAGCCTTAACGGTTTTAAAGGTTGTTTTTCGGGTTCGTTATTACTTTTACCCTTTACCGGCGGGAAACTATCGCTTTTCCCGGGCCGTGTAAGGCCGTAATACGAATTGCTTATACGTAAAAAGCCCGTATTACGCATTTGCTTTATTTTATGGCCATTTTTTAAAGCATTTGGAATTAAGAATTTATGCGCGTTTAAATCCGGCCCGTTGGCCGAATCTTTTGCGGTTTTAACCTTTGTGGTTACAATAAAACCTGGCTTTTTTACCCCCAATTTTTAACTTTAATGCTTGGTAACAAAAGTAAATGTTTAAAGCTTTTCCGGTTAAAAAAGCTTTAGCGCATTAATAATTCCTTTTCGGGTTGCAAACGGGTTTTCCGTTTTGTTATATTTAATTAACAAATTGTAAATAGCCACGTTAATCGGGTCCTTTTTTTATTTGCTTTTAAAAAAGCTTTTTTTATTAAATTTAACGTTTTTTATAATTATTACTTTTTTTTAACGGGATTTAAATCCGGTAAATGTTGGAAATTTAATAATTTATTAAATATTTAACCTTAATACGAAAATTAATTTTAAAGTGTTTAAAATTCGCGTTATAGGACTTTTTTACGTTTAAAGGATAAATTTTGCATTTGTAAGCGTAAATGCCGTTCCAATCCGGTTTTAAATTGGTTGTTAAACCCGTAAAAAGTTTCGGGGCGTAATGCTAAAATTACCCCCAAAATTAATTTAAAAAAATATCGTTAAAAGCGCGCATGCTTTTTAACGGTAAAAAATTTATATTTTTTAGCTAAACGGCAGCGTAAACCGCTTTTGGTTATAAATGTTTAAAAAATTTTGCGCTTTTACGCATGCGTATCCTTTTCGTAATAACGTTTTATTCCGTACGTTTAATTATTCCGTTAAGCTTGTAAATGTATAACGGTAAAGTTTCGATAATAATGCTTTTAGCTTAAACCCATTTTTCGTACTTCGAAAACCTTTTTACAAATATAATAAACTTTTTTTGGTTGTATTTAAAAGTAACAACAAGCAATTCGTACTATTTTTTTACTTACGCTTTCCATTCCTTTAAAATTTTGGTAACTATCGGTTCCTTTTTGTTTAAAAATGTAAAGCTTTAAGTTTTGCCGCTGTATTTGTTTATTAATAATAAAACTTAATTTATTTTTAATTTCGATTTAAAATAATCGAATAAGTTAAACCAAACTTTCCAAAAAAAGCGCATGGCCTTTTTTATAAAGCGCTTGGAAACGATAATTATAGCGTAAATTGTTGCGCATGCTTTGCATTCGATCCGTTTAAATCCTTTAATTTTAACGTTTCGGGCGTTCCAAACAAAAGCTTTTAGCGTTTATAATTTTAAATAACCTTTGCGCAAATGCTAAAAATTGGCGGTATTTTTTTGCGGTTTCGTAAAGTTCGAAAATAAACGTTACGTATGCGTAGCACGCTTGCGGCGTAAAAATTCTTTAATTGCAAAAATTAAAACCGTATTTTTTAAAAAAAATTGCAACGTGGTTAATACAAAGTAAATAGCAACAAATTTGTATTTATAAAATATTACGTTGTTTTTGCGCTAAAAGCGTTTAATTACTTTCCCGTTAATAATTTCCTTAATGCGCAAAATTGCGTTTTTCCCGCAAAACTATACCCTTTTGGCGTTTAAACGGGCTTTCGAAATAATATTAATATGGAAGCCTTTTATTAAAATAACGTTGTAAAGCTTAAAGTTTCCGTTTCCGTTTAAAAAGCTAAAAAGCGTACAAATGCTACGTTCCAAAATCGGAAGGTATTAAATGCCGCATTAAATCGTTTTGGTACCGTTTAACGATTGGAATAACTTTTTATTAAAACGCTTTTTATTGTTAACAATGTAAAGCAAACCGCAATTATTAAATAGCGTGCTTTTAAAATAAATGTTTTTTATAATATTAAAAGCCAAAAAAACGCTTTAAAACAAAAGCATTTTAAGTACGGCCGCATTTAAATCCCACTTTTTTTTTAAAGTTCGGAAACCGGAATTTAACGCGCTTTTGGCTTGCTTTTTTTAAACGGAATTTTTAAATTTGCTTTTGGAAAGGAAGGATTTTTTAAATAATTTCCAACGGTTTTTTTCCAAAAACTTTTTAATTTTTTTGCACTTTTCGTTGCTTAATTTGTTGCAAAAGCGTTTGGAATTGCCGGTAAGCACGTAAACGAGCTTTTAGCAATTTTTCGGTTTCCAGGAATGGTTTTAAATGCAAGCCAAGCATTTATACGTTATTGCGTTATTTCGTTAAATGTTTTTAGCTTTTTTGTTTTTATTTTTAAATGCGCCCCTAAAAATTAAAAACGCAAGCTTTTTTTTAATGCCCGAATTATTAATGCGGTATTAAAAAAGGATTGTTAAAAATTTAGTAACCAAAGTATTTATTTTTTCCGTAAAATCGCCCGTAATTACTTTTTAACGGTAACGCTTTGCCCAAAAAGGGTTAAAACGCTTTATGTGCTTAAAAAAGTTAAGCATAAGCGTAAAGCTTTATACTTTAAAAACGTTTTTAATTTTGGTTTAAATAAATATTGCTTAAAATTTTGGAAATTATTAGTTAACGTTTATGGTGCTAGCGGCCTTTTTAAACGTATTGCGGTACTTTTAAAAAATTATTTAAATTTTTATTATAAAAGTAAAAGCGTAAAGCGTTTTTAAGCAAATAATGGTGCTACGGAAAGTAACGTAATTATTAGCTTAAGCTTTTAATTGCGCGTTTGCAAGCGCAACAAAGTTTACAAAAAAGTTAATCCATTTGGAAAAGGTTATAATTTTTTTCGAAACGGTTTTGCTTGCGGTATCCTTTGCTTTAAGCGCTTTTTTATGCTTGGCTTTAAAATTACCTTTGGTAAAAACCGAAAGGGCTTGGGAAAGTTCGGGATTAAATTTTTGCGTAGCTTTGCTTTTGCTTTGTTAAGCTTTTAAGCAAGCCTTTTTTTTTTGGTCGAAAAAATCGTTTGCCAAACCAAACGTTTAAATTTATAGTTTTTAACGTGTTTAGCCCGGGCCTTTGCTGCAAAAAAATTAAAATTTAAAGTTTTATTGGCTTGTACGTCGTTCGGGAACTTTAAATTAAAATTAACCTGGTTTTAAATCCTTAAAATTAATGCGTTTTAACGGAGCGCCGTAAATTACGTAAGCCATTGCTTTTAATTTTTAAATAGCGTTATTACGAAAAAATCGTTATCCGTGCCATTTATAACTAGTAGCAACCGGAAGTTCGTAAAAGTAAAACGGTAAGGAATAAAGGGTTAAAAGCTTTAAAAGCGTAAAAATGTAAAAGTTAAAAAAAAGGAATTTAACAAAGGTTTTTAGTAACGTTCGGAATTAACAACGAAATTTGCTTTGGCAAAAAAAATTTTGTCGAAAAAGGTTTTGGAAGCGTAAGAATTTTTTCGTAAAAGAATTGCGAAAAGGAAAAAAAGGATAAACGCGCTTGGAAAAGCGCGTTTGGGAACGATTTAATAAAGGTAATAAAAAGGGAATAAATCCGTGCTGCTAAGCCTTTTACTTTACGTTAAAGGGTTTAAAAGTTGCCGGGTTTATAATTGTTGCAAGTAAAAGGGATAAGCACGGTATAAAGCTATTCCGGTTAATAAGCTTTAAAAAGGAAGGGATTTAAAGTGCAGGGCTTTGTAAAAGCCTTTGCCCTTTATATACACGTAACCCCCGCGTTTTTTTTGCTTACTAAGCTTCCCTTTTAATGCCTGGAAGCGTTATACGCTTTCAGGCAGAGGGACCGCTCTTCGAATGCTTTAGGCATCTGCTATCTCTGCCTAAAACCTTTCCTTTACAGTTTATACTGTCTTCTTTGTAACAATTAATTATTACGCCAATCGGTACGGCACGCTTAACAATATTTCGGTTAATGTTACGAACAATATTAAAAGCGCAAAAGCTAAAACAAATAAAATTAAAAACAAAAGTTTTGCTTGTACCTTTACGTTTATTAATTTAAAAAAGCAATTAATGCTTACGCTAACAACGGCGGGTAAAAAAGTACCGGTTAAAATTAACGGTTAATATTTAATAATTAACGATTTAATTATAATATAATTGCTATTACGGGTTTAGCTAGTTTAAAGCAAATAGCAAAACGGTATTATTAATTTCCAAATTATTTTGCCGGAATTTTTTTTAATAAAACCAATGCTAAAAAAAAAATTAGCATAGCGGCCAATGTAAAATTACCAATTTTTTGTTAAGTTGAAATTTTGGTTGCCGAATATTTCGATATTTTTAATTTTAAACTTTAACAAAGGAATTTAGCAACGAAATAAATTTAATTAACGCGTGTAAAATTCGCCGGGTTATTAATAGCTTTAAGGTTATTTTCGAATTTATTGTTAACGCTTTCGATTTTATTTTTATCGATGCAAATATAACCATTTTCGTTATAAGCAAAGCAATTGGCCCGGTAATGTTCGTATGCTTTGGAAAAAGTATTAAAGGTTTTGCTAAGCACGGTTTTAAAAGCGTTAAACGTAAAGTAAGGATAATATAGCATTAATTTAATTTTGCAATAATTTTTTCGCTTAAAGTTATTATTTAAATCGATACGTTTATATTTTGGAAAGTAATTTAGCACGCAAAATTTAACGATAAAGCTAAAAAAAATATTACGGGGTACGCTGGTAATTTATTTTGGTAAAAAACGTAAAGTACGTAAAGCTTGGCCAATCCTTTCGGTTTATATATTTTTAATATAATTTGCGGATAGCAATAATTTTATTGTAATTAGCGCTAATTATAACGGCGTTTTGGTTAAAATTAAAAGGATAGCAATTAATTAATTGGAAAATGTAATAGCATTAAATTACAAAAAAGCCAAATTAATAATAACAAACTTTTATAATAAGTTAATTTCGTTTAGCTATTAACTTTGTTAGTAAGAGTTTGGTACTCTTGTTAACGGCTCGGAAATTTCCTGTAAAGGGTAAACAAAAATCTTTATAATTTGGGGAAAAGTCCTATTATTGTGCACGAAAAGGAAAGAATTTATTTGCCAAAAGGAAAGCACAGGATTGCCCGTTATATGCTTAAGAACGATTACCCCAAAAGGTGGTTTTTTGCTTTGCTTAAAGCAAATAATATTGGCCCGTGCGGGATCCGGAAAATCCCGGAGCTTTCGTAATAACCTTTTTTTTGGATTGCACGCGTATAAAAATACTATTTTAATACCGGCACTTTTTTTTTTGTGCGCGGGCAACGGGTAAATCTTTTTTAAACAAAAAAAGCCCGTTCCGGAAATTACCGGGATTTTTTAAAGCTTAATAAATAAATTTTGTTATAAAAAAAAACGCCGGATTTGGTAATCCGGATTTTTATTTAATAAATGGGCGGTTTATATAAGCCGTAAATGGAAGCTAAAAAGAAAGTAATCGAAATGTGCGCTTTAAAAAGGCGTTTTTATGCGTTTGGAAGCATTGGGTTATTAACGTAAAAAATAATAAAAAAAAGGTAATGCAAGCTTGGATTTTTAGCGCAACAAAAGGTTATTTAAAAAATCGTTTTAACAAAAAATAATAATTACGAATGCTTTTGTAATTTTTAAAAATAAAATTTGCGCTTATAAAAAGCACTTTTTCCATTTTGCTTGCAATTTAATAAATTTAAACCGGTAAATTTTACTTTTTAACTTTTATACCTTGCTATCCTGCAATTTATTAACGTTCCAATTAAATATTTTTTACTTTTCCAAATCGTTTTGCAATTACGATAGCTAATACCAAAAGAAAAAAAGTTTTTCCGGTAACCGCAAGCGCAGGAACCGCCGCATTAAAAACCAAAAAAATCCCGAGCAAAGCAATAATAAAGGCGAAATTGCTACATAAGCTGGTTAAATTAATAAAAAAAACGAGCTTTAATTGGATCCGGTCCTTAATTTAATTGTTAATTCCGTTAATTATATTAAAAAAGGAATTAAGCTTGCGTAAAATCCGTTTAAGGATTTGGTTATTAATTAACTTGTTAACCTTTACGTTATTTCGACGCACAATTTAAATATTGGCCTTTCCAAATTCGTTAATCCTTTTAAAATCGATGCGGGAATTTTAAGCGCTAATTTTTTTACGCCATTTAATACGGTAAATACGTTTGCAAAATTTGCGTTAAATCGATTTGCGGATCGTTTTAAAAAAAAATATCGTTAAAAAAAAAAAAAAGCGGGTGCGATATCCTTTTAATTTAATAAAGCCGGAAATGGCTAACAACGATTTCGCTTCCGTTTTTTTGGAAATTTTTAAGCTTGCTAAACGTGCTTTCGAAAAAGCGGAAAGCGCGTATGGTACGCGTAGCGAATCTTTTTTAAATCCGGAAAAAGCTATTGCTACGAAAGCGGCATTAATGCGTTATATAAATTATGCCGATTTAATGGATGCGCAAACCGATTTTTTCGGCCAATTAAATAAAAATTTAACCGCGCAAAAGGCTAATTGTAATAAAAAAAAGGAGCTTGCAAAACTTTTAACTTTTTAAATTTAAAACGAATTTTTTACCAAACAGTATAAACAGGCCGTAATTTAACTTGTACTTTTTAAGCAACATACCAAATTGTTTAACAATTAAAACAAGCAAGTTATATTTAAGCTTAAGCTTTTTAAACAGCCCGTCGAATCGTTTAACGATTAAAACGAACAAGCTATGGCTAAGCTTAAGCTTTTTAAACAGCCCGTTAAATCGTCCAACGATTAGGACAAGCAGGTTATAGTTAAATTTAAACTTTTTAAGCAATTAACGGTTATTCCAACGCAATTACAGGATTCGTTAAATATAATTGTAAATATCGATTCGTTTGCTTAATAATTTAACGCTTGTTCCAATTAATTAATTCCCGGGAAAAAAGGGAAAAAAAAGGTTAAATTTTTTTTTAAAACTTCCATTTGTTTTATTACTGGTAATAAAAGCCCGATATCCTTTGCAAGCTTTAATAGGCGCGGTAAAAAAGGGAATTTCCGATCGATTTTATGCTTAAAATGCTTTAAATTAATTTTGGCTGGCAAAATGCTTAAGTTGGGTAACGGTAATGGCTATTGGAACCAAATTCCAAACAGGAATAAATATTGGCTATGCGCTTCGGGCTATACATGCAAGCCCATATAAGCATTTCAATTTTTAAAAGCTTATTTGTAAATTCGAATTAATAATTATTTTTAATCTTTTTTTAATTATACGTTTGGCTTTTAAATTTTTTGCTATATAGCGTTAAAATAAAAAGGTTTGCAAAAAAACTATAAATTTATTTTTATATTAAATAATCGAAATGCTTTTTTTAATAAAAGTTATTTGGTTGTAAAAGCTTAATAAATAGCGAACCATTTGCAAAATAATGCTGTTTTTTTGCCGAAAAGGATGCGGGCAAAAATAGTACGTTTGCTAAGGCTAACAATAACCTTTTTACGATAACGCGAGCGGAGCGTATTAAAGCGGGCCGATTAGCAGCTTTCCGTATATGGGATGCTGCGGCCTTTATAAGAATAGCGGACAAAAAAAACGAAAAGTAAAGGAAATTTAAAAAAATAATAATATCGTTTTTTTAAGCTTTTGTTTTGCTGTTTTTATTAATTATAAAAAGTACGGTTCCATGCTTTGCGCGTTGCGTTTTTGGGGTTAATAGCTTGTTATAAAAATGGAAAAAAAAATCGATTAAAGCAACCTTTGGTTTTTTTTACTTTTAATTTCGCTTTACCCATTTTTTAATTTTTATTATCGTAATGTTGGAGCTAACGAAATTTTTAAAAGCTTTATTTGGTTAATTTTTGGTTATAGCGTTTGCAAAGTTATTTGCTTTTGCGATCCACCGGATTTCGTTAATTTCCCGCTTTTTATAAAACTTACGGAAAGCTATAATATTTATTATAAAGCGTTTTTCCGTTATTATTCCAAATTAAATAAAGCATTGGTAAAACAATAAATTGTTTATGCAAATTACCAGCTTGCAAAAAGGCAATTTTAGCTTTTTGCTAATCGCAAAAAGCGTAATTTTTAAAACGTAACCAGCATTAAACCCGCTAACCATACCGTAAATTTTGCTTGCAAAAATATTGCGTATTACTTTTTTGCACTTAACAAAGCTTTAATGCAATATATTTTTAATAATTTAAAAGCTATTTTTTTGCTTTATGCTTTATTCCGTGCCAAAAACAACCAAAAACCCAATTTGTAAATTTAAATTTTTGTTATTAGCAAAGGACCCGTTTACAAATACGTATAGCTTAGCTTGTGCCAAATCGATTTTTACGTAATTTAAACCTTTATCCGCGTTATCGATTTGCCATTAAATGCGTTTGTTAAATTTGGTAACATTTGCGTTAAAGGGGTTTTTGGGCTTATATAGTTATAAAGCAATTAAATGCGGCTTTTAGCTGGTATATAAAGCTAATATACGCTTTTCGTACGCGTTAAACCACGTATTATCGTTGGGTATTATCGCTTTTGCGGGGCACAAGCTTAAGCCGATTTGCTTATCCCTTTTGCTGCATGCAAATAATCGTTTTGCCAATCGTTATTTTGCAACCGTTAAAATAGCTTTCATTTTCCGGGCTTAAAATAAACCGTGGCCTGGTTTTAAAGCTTGCTTCCAAAAAAGCAATTTTTTCCTTTTTTATAAAAGCTTTATTGCTTAAATTTAGCATATCGTTGGTTTGTATGCTAACGATTTTAAAGCCTTTGCTAATTTATAAAAAAAGCAAGCAAAAATTGTAATTGGAAATAAAGCAATTTAAACGTTTTTTGTAATGCTTTTGGTATGTAACAAACCAATGCAATTCCGCTTCGGCCAATTTGTAAAGCGGTTTAATTAAACGAAGCAAAGTTTTAAGTAAATAATGTTGCTGCAAATTTTTAAGCAAACGCAAGTAAACGGTTTTTTGCAATTTAATTTTGGCTTAAATATATGCTTAATTAATATCCCGAATTATTAATTGGTTGCTTGTAGCTATAAAGCTTGGTGCAAGCGCAAATATTAAACGTTAATTGCATTGCATAATTGTTAAAAATTAAATAAGCAAAATTGCCTTTTTTTAATCGTTATACCTTTAAACCATAAATTTCGACTTTTCGTAAAGTGCCGAATTTGTTTTTTTAACCTTTTTAACCATTCGTAAGCTAAAAACCTTTGCCAATTTGTTAATTTGCTATTTTTTAATCGGTTTTATTATATCGTTAGCTAGCAAATTCCCGATTTTTTTTTGGTTTAATTGTTTAAACGGTTTGCTAAAGGTCGTAATCTTTCCAATTTAACGGTAATGGAGCGCTAAACGCATAAATTTTGTTTTTTTCGCGCTAATAAAAGCTAAAAAGGCGATTTTTCGCGCGGCGTTTTGTTTAAAGCGTTTATCGCGTTTGGAATCCGGTATTTCCGTTAATGCAATACCTTAGGGTATTAAAAGCTTAAATGCTTTGCGTAATTTTTTTCGTTAGCGCGGAAGCGGCGGTAAGGAATTTCCGATTTTAAAATCGTTTTTATTGCTACTTTTTAAATTATGGTTTTAATATTTGGTAATTTTACGGGGTTGTTTTTGGAATTGCGGTTTGGGCAAAATTAAATATGCAAACGGTTTTGGTTGCTTTTTTAAACCTATTATATGTTGCTTTTCCAATTTATAATAAAGCTTGCAAATAATGTTACGGAACGTTATTAAACCGTTTAGCATATTAATAATAATTTTATTATTTATTATTATTAAAATTTTAAAAAGTTTTTGCTATTTTTTTTTTTTCGGTATACGAAAACCTTATTTCCCAAAACGAAAAAATTAAATAACGTTTTTTCGATGTTCGAACTGTTGCGCGTATTTAAAGCGTTATTAACCTTTTGTTTAGCAAAAAGCTTGCGTAGCTTTGCTATAACTTTAATAATTGTTATTGCTTGTTAAATTTGCGTTCCCGTAAGTGCCGAATTGCTAATTAATCGGGGCATAGCACCGAAAACGAATAGCGTAAAAACCAGCCCATTAAATTTGGCGGTATTGTTTAATGCTTTAATTATTTTTTAAAGCGTTAAATTTAAATGGATATTAAAACATTTTTTTTAATTATTTCGTAAAGGATTAAATAGTTAGCCGGAGCGCGAACGGGAAGGGAACGAAAAAAGCACTTACGTTATTCGATGGTAAAGCAAAATGCCTTTGGGGATTTCCGTTAAAGCGTTTATCGCTTCGCGGGTTATAAATTTGTATTGCTAAACGAAAAAATTAAATTAAAATAAAAAAACGAAAACGATTCGGCGGCGAAAAAATAAAAAAAAACAAACTATATAATTAGTATTAACCCGCGCGTTGCCGCCGTTGTTATTGCTGGTGCTAAAAAAACCGTTATTATTATTGGGCATTTCCACCGGAAAAGTACGGGGAGCGGGCCGGGCAAAAAAAGCGTTAAAAACAACGGGATTGGAAAAAGGAAAAGCAATAATTACCGCCCAACCATTATTACAAGCGCTGTTACCGCCGCGGTTAACGCGTTTGGCAAAATTGGCTTTAGCCGTGCTTTTTTTTTGGGAAAAACCGTTAATTAGCATTGCAATTAATTAAAATTAAAAGTAAAATTGGGAATGGCCGGAAACGAAAGGAAAGAAAATGCAATTAAGCGCTAAAAATAAAAAGCGCGTTAAAAAAATTAAAGCGATAAAAATTAACCGGAAGCAATGCAATAAAAAGGTAACGGTTAAAAAAAAAGCATTGCACCAAAAAAAAAAAAGTTAAAAAGGAAAAGGTAAAAAAGGAAAAAAAGGAAAAAGAAAAAAGGAAAGGAAAAAGGAAAAAAAGCAAATAAAGCAAAAAAAAGGCACCGGCGAAAAAGCAACCTTTTCGAACCCGCCCGAAGCCATTACGCCAGCGAAAAAAAGCACGATTACCCTCCAAACACAATTACCTACCCTTAATAAAGCTATAAATACCCGAATGGCAAATATAAAAAACACCGCTACCTTAACAAAAGCAACCAAGCACCGGGTTAATAAAAATACGCACGAAAACGTTAACAAAAACAACCACCAATATTTAATTACATAAAAAAAAATAACAACAAAAAACGAGCTATACCATACCAAATACAAACCGTACCCGAAAGCATAACGCGGGGCCGGAAAACGCGAAATACTAGCCTTACGCAACAACTACCCGGCTAATTAAGCTTTTGCTTACTAGCGGCAATCGCCGGAATTACCCTAAAACAATAGCGCTTTTTCAAAACCACATTTTTTATACGTTTTTTTTATAATTTTTTTATATGTTAGCCCCCACTTTTACTTTACCATTACACCCTTTTGGCCGGGGGCACAAAAACGCTTCCTTGCCAAAGCATTTATTAGCAATCGAACGAACCACAATAAACGAAACCGGCGGTTTAACACCAACCCAATACCGGTTCGTAAGCGCAAGGTTTTTTTCCTTAAGCCAAACCCAAAGGTTTCTTTTACGCAACATTTAGCAATAGCATTAAGGTTTTTCCTATAAACAAAACAAAGTATAAATATATAATTATTTCGTAAGCACGACGGAAAGGTTTGTAATACTTTTTAACTTTGCTTATTAATTAATAAGCTTTTATAAAAACTTAATGGTAAATAATTTTAAAAAGTTTTGCTTCCGTTTGGAATTCGTTTGCAATAAAGTTAATTTTTGCATTGTAAAATATTACGTTAAACGGGTTAAAATAAATGTTAAATTAACAGCGTTTAAAAGCTTTTTAAATTTTTTTAATTAATCCTTTTTTAAAAAAGGTTACGGCGTTAAACGCAATATTTGCATTAATTATATAAAGCATTTGTTTGTTATTTAAATGCATAACGTTAACGATTATTTCGTAATTAAAATTAACGTTATTTTTAAGCATAAATTTAAAGCGTTACGGGGCGGAGCTCGTGGTTTGGCAATAGTAGCATACCCAATTAATTATTTGCAAAGCGTCGCGATTTACCCAATGGTTTGCTTGGTTAAGCATATGCTAAAAGCGCTTAACAAAAAAATGGCCAAATCGTTTATACAAACGTTTTAGCTTTGCTTTTATTAAAAAAGGCATTTTTGTACTTTATGGATTAATTAAATACGAAGCAGTTACCGTTGTAACGTTAATTTTGTTAATAAAAAACCATAAATGGCTTAATTATTTGGTAATTAATACGCGCTTGCTTTAATTGGTTACAAGCTTGTTGCGCATATTGTTAAAATAAACCTTTAATTTATTTATATTTTTTAAATACATAAAAAAAAGGGTATGCGTTGGAATTATATGGAAAGTAACCAATTTAACGGGGGTTTGTAAAATAATTTCGCCGAAATTGTACAAAGCGTTTTTTGTGCTAAAGCGCATTTAATGCTTGGCATTGCCAATAACCATTTGGAAATTTAGCAAATAGCGTTATAATGTTCGAAATTGCGTAAAACCAGCGGTTAAAATTTTTGCGGCTTTTATATCGGGCATAATATTATACCATTTATTTTCGCTAAAAAATACGTATTATTTTAATGTTTGCTTTTTGCCGCTTTTATTTAACTGGCATTGGAAATAAACGTAAATGCAATAACGAAAAGCTTTATTAACGAAGTATTTTGCGGTAACAACGGTAAAAAATTGTAACGAAAACGTTTTTTTTTATCGTTTAATTAATTGCTAAATTTTGCCGTTTATTAAATTTGTAAATCGTTTGCGGGTGCTTCGTCGTTTTTATTATTGCTTTTTTTTCGTATTTAAAAAGGAATTGGAAACCCCTTTTTTTTTAATCGCCGTTGCTTTAGCAATTTTGTTTCCAACGCTTTTTCGATTTGCGTTGCTTTTCCGGCAAATGCCGGGTAAAGCGGCAGCCAAATTTGCTGCAAATCCAGCATTTATTTATATTGCAATTTTAAAAATTATAAAAGCGTAATTTCCTAACACTTTTTTTATTCCATCGATCGTTTTAAACGTTTTTTTTAAATTTGCGTTTAATAAAGTAATTGTTATGTATAAATACGTTTTTTTCCATTTGGAAAGTGCTGCGCAATTAGGAAGCCAAGCTTTTAAACGTTTTTTTTGGACGTAAAAAGGCCATTTTAAGCTTAAGCATTTTTTAAATTGCACGGAAAATGTTTGTAAGGAATTAGTAATTTTGTTAATAAGCAAAGCTAAAAGCTTGCTGTTACAGTCAAGCCTCTGCTCTTAAAGTAAGGCACCAAAGGAGTATCGAACAATAGCACGTAATTTAACAGGTTAAAGGGATTTACAAGGTAATTTGGGTGCAGGTTTGAATGCTTGCTTTAAGGGTTACTTGGAAGCTAACTAAAGTTTGACTAATGCCGAAGCCCCAGTTAAAAATTACCTAAAACAATAAAAAACCCTTTCCTTTTTATACTTTAATGCTTACTCCTTTGGGGTTGTGGATTAGTTGGTTTACGAAGCCAACTTTGTAAGCTTTTTTAAGCTTCTTTTAAATTAATGGCTTACTTTTTTTGCTTCCCTAATTTATTAATCCCTGGTAGTTACGTAACCCTTTACTTTTTACGGGGTTTCCGTACCGTGCTACCCTTCCTTTTTGGGCAAAAATAGTTATTGGTTGTAACATTAAATTTTTCTTTTAATGGCCAAGCCCTTTTAGCCACGTATTACTATTTTCTTTGCCTTTTTGTTAATTGTAAGTACTTTTTTTCCTTATTGTTTAACCGTTCCTTTTTTTTAACAAAATGTTTGGGCAAATTTAAAAACGTTCGGTTCGGAAAATTATTTAACGGCACGTTTTGTTATTTATCGTTTTTAATTTTTCGATTTTAATGCTTTTTTGTTTTGTTTGTAAAGCCGTTGGTTTTCCTTTTTGTTAAATATTTTCGAAAGATTTTTTTCGTTGTACCGAATGCGTCCGTTTGGAACGTATTTGGTGCAACGTTTTAAGGGTTTTTTTTAACCAATTGCGTAAAATTGTTAAGCAATATCTTAAATTAAACGCTAAGCTTGTTATTGCTAAGCGATTTTGCCGATAAACCGAAAAGTTAATGCGTGCTAAAAGCAATTAGGTTTAGCGTTTGCGCATTTAAAAGGATTTATGGTTTAAAAAAATAATGCGCGTTGTTCGTTGCGGTATTAATAATGTGGAAAAGCTGGATTGTATTAAGCAAGAGGAAGCTAAACGAGCCGTTGCTTTAGCGGTAGCTTATTTTTTTTTTAGCTTTAATTTAATTTTTTTCCTTTATTTTTTGGTTGGGCAGCGTTAAGGGTTAATCCTAACCTTAACCCGTTGCTTTTTTTTAATTTAATAAGTTGCAATTTCCTTAACAATTCCTTCCGGTCGTATAGTATAATGGTAGCGCGTTTGTTTTTGTAACGGAAGGATTTGGGTTCGACTTTCGGTGCAATTTGGTTAAATCGACGATGTCGGTTTCCCTAGCCGGGGTTGTCGATTTAACTTTTTTTTTTTTTTTTTGCTAATTCCGAAAGCCCAAAGTTTGGTATCGATTTTAAATTGCTTGCGTTTTTTTAATTCGGTAAGTTGTAATTTTTTTAACAATTTTTATAAATTGTATGGCGCAATGGTAACGCATTTGTTTTTGTAACGGGAAATTTTGGGTTTAATTTCCGGTACAACCTTTGTTGGAGTTTTCGTTTTATGCATGTAAGGGAAAGGTTTTGGCATCCTTTTTTGCTTAAACTTGTTAGCTTATTCTTTGGATATGCTGTAAGGGCTTTTTTCCTTTGCTTACCAAATTTTTCCGAATTTAAAGCGTTTTGCAAGCTTTAAGGTTATTATTAACTTTTTTTTAAACGATATTTTTGCAAAGCTTTTTGGCAATTCCTAAAGTTTGTTATGTTTTTTTACGTATTGTGCTTATTCCCTTATCCTTTTTATTTAATAAAGTATTGCTTTTTGCGGTAATGCGTTCGCTCGTTAAGGATGGCTTTAACTTTTTACTTTTAGTTGGGGTCGATTTCCATTAATTCGGTGCTTTTAAAGCCCGGAAACGCTGGTTTTAGCAAAAAAAACGTAAAAAATTGGGTGGATTCGCATGGTTAGTAATAGTTAAAATTTATAATTAACCGGAAAAATAACACGGGTAACCCAAAAGGGTTCCCATTTTTTCCTATCCAATTTATTGTTTAACCTTTTTATTTTAATATTAGCGCGTAAAAGGTAAGCGTTATTTCCTTTTTTAAAGGTTGGTTTTTCGATCCTTTTTTTATTAGCTTGCTTTGTTATTCGGTAACGCAAATTTTCCAATTTAACCTAAAAGTTTTGGTGCAATTTAATAAACTCCGTTATTTAAATTTCCGTTACTAAAGCTTTAAATCCGGCTTTAAGCTCGTTGTACGCCGTAAGGGTATATTTATAATTGGCGTAAAACGGCGTTTCCCTTATGCTTTTATGCATAAAATTATTGTACGCAAATTAAGCAATTGGTAACAATTAAACCCAGTTATCCTATTTGTAAGTAACATAATAGCGCAAATATTATTTTATCGTTTTATTGGTTCGTTCCGTTTATCCGTCCGTTTGGGGGTAATACGCTATCGATAAAGCGTGTTTTGCTTCGAAAAACGCCGTAAACGTTTTTCAAAATTTGCTTGTAAATAATTTGTTTCGGTTTGTAATTAGTTTTTGCGGCATTCCGTAATTTGCTATTACGTACCGAAAAAAAGCGTAAGCTAAAGTAAGCGCGTTATTACTTTTTTTATATAATAAATACAAAGCATATTTTGTAAGTTTATTTATTACTACCAATATGCTATTATATTGTATTTCCGTTAAAGGCTTTTTGGATTTGGAAAGCTTAACGATAAAATTTATGGTAATTTTTTGCTATGCCCTTTTGGGCGTTGGTAGCAATTAAAGCAGCTTATAAAAAAAGTGCTTGCTGGGTTTGTTTTTAGCGCATATTTAGCAATTTTTTATTGCTTTTAACATTGTTGCCCAAATTCCGGTAAATCCGTAATGCTATTGGAGCTTTTTTTATGTTTTGGTGGCCTTTAAGTAATTATAAGCTAGCAACCTATAAATTTCCAAAATCCTTTTTAAAGTTTAACTTTGCTTTTTGGTTGTTAAAGCCATTGCTTGCTAAGCTAAAACCAACGCTTTTTTTGGCTTATAAGCCAAAAGCGTTTTGGTTTTTTTTGGAATAGCAATTTTGTAATTGCTTTTTTTGCTTAAAGCGTTTGCCCTTCCGTTTTTCGATCCTTTTCGGTACAAAATTTAAAAATTATAATTTTAAAAATATTGGTTCCAGCGGATTTAACGCTTGTTAAGGTTTTGGCTTGTAATAAAATGTGCCAAATTTTTGTAATTAGTGTATACCGTAACTTGGTGGTTTGCTCCATACAAATATACCTTCCATTTTTCCAAAGCTTTAATAATAGCAAAAAGCTTTTTATTATAAATTTAATAATTTAACTTAGGTTTTTTAAGTTTTTGT